ATGTTTATAGTCGTCTTGTACAAGATACCTGATTGTCGGGCTCCTTTCCTCTGTACTATTAGAGTGCAAAAGTTTATGAATAAATCTCTAACTCAATTTCTACAGTTTCTAATAGCAGATAAAAGTTCAAATTATCGGCATTCTTGATCTGCCATTTCTTGAAATGCTCACTCTCATAGCTTGTTCGAGTGAAAATATCTTCCAGCCTGTTGTACTATCTTAGTTCTCTAATCCCAACTTCGAACCTGAACCAGAAGCCTTGCGATCAGCAATAGCTAGGGAAATTATGTTGCAAAGTGAAGCAATATGCTTAATTTGTTGGAGAAATCCCGAGCCTTAAGCCTTTGATCACCAAAGCTATTATTTCTCTCAAACACTGAAAGATTGAATTGAATATTTAATATGGTTTTATTGTCGTACGACCTCATTTAAATGGAAAAGTTAGAAGAAATTCGTGAATTGGTACTACCAGAAGCCAAAGGAGGATTTCCATCGAGTCAAGACTGGGATTGTTCGAAGGAGTCCTCGGCTCATCGTCCTGCAACCCAGATGAATTCATGCCAAGCTTTCGTCTGCTATGGGTGAGACATCGTCAGAGAGAGCAGACTTAATGAAAAAAATGCACCAACTACAATAGGCCGAGAAACAGAGATGGTTTTCTACAATCACACTCGCTTCTTACACCCTATTTTGCGATTCTACTGAGGCATGCGATTTTTAGGTTGACTATTTCATACCCACCATACATTGTTGTAGTTGGGACGGCTTATGCATGAAATGGAAGTGTTAGCAGTTATTTCCTTGCTTAGACAAACCAATGTATGATCCTGCAATTTTGACGCATATTTTATATACTTTTGCCAGATTGGAGGTCTTCCAAAACCCTACTATGTCATAAACTTAGATATATTCCTTAAAAGGTTTTTATTTAATTCGGACTGCATGAAGAATTTTCCTATCATTATACAAATATTTTTATCCATAAAAGTTTTCATCTAAGCGCGCTAATTAGGATCTAGGTCTCGTCGACCCTTTACTTCCTTGTTATTATTCCTCCTTTTAAAATTGTTATTTTTACCGAAATAATCGTTTTTGAACTCTGAAAAAGGTCATTGAAAATCAACGATAGTTCCATTTTTCAGGCTCTTCTCCTGTTGCTACTAGGACTCGGCCTATCGGTTGTCGCCTTCACGCCACAATAGCTACCACTGATGGAATATCTCCTATTGAGGCTGGTTTTGATGTTCTTCGCCTATGGGATGCTCGGAAGGCTGGATCACCCGACCAGCTAGTTGGCAGATCTGCCGAAGGCTCTGCTATCCTAAGATGCCTTGTACCGCCGCCTAAATCTTGTTCCAATGGCCTAAGCAAGACCTATTCTGATGAAAAATCCACTCATGTAACTTCTTCCACCACTACTAAACCGTGTTCAAGTGCTTATGAATCACTTTACTTCACGGAGCCATTCTACGAAGTTAAGTTAGAGGTTCCACAAACATACTCCCTCATTTTTGCTGGCTACTACTAATATCTCCTTTTGC